GAGGCCGATCACTGGTTAGAAAAAGGAAAGGGGGAGTAATGCAAGTAGCCTGGTAATCCTATTGAGGTTCTACAGGGATGAGGGAATCAATGCTCAAGTAACAGGGTAATACTATTGAGGTTCTATGGGGATGAGGGAATCTTTTTTTTTTTTTTTTTTCCCCACAACAGCCCGTATGGGAGATAGGGGCGCTGGTATGAGCAGACGCCTTTATCTCCCGCGGGGAGACTCCATCTATTGGTGGGGAGCAAGACCTGCTGGAAATCGGGTCCAGCGTCCCTTACATGACAACCATTCCAATCACGCTCAGATGATTCTGACTGTCTTCCAACCTGCCAGCATTGATTACCCTGAAGACAAGGGATTGATTGAGCAGGCTCAAACAGGGAGAAAGAGGGGCCCCAGCCCCCGTGTTTGTGCTTATAACTGTCTCTCCCTCACTCTGCCCCATACCATTGAAGATCCGCTATTGATAGACCATGGGGCGGAAAAGGGTCAGGGAAGTCCAAGGGGGAGCGCAGCAGTATTGCTGCATCCACCTTAGTCCAGTCCTGAAAACAAATGATATAGTCTCATCTCAGATTATCCTCTCTGCATTCTAGGAGACTGCCTCCTTCCCAACTAACATAAGCCATTTTGCCCCCCTGGTCACTTCCCAGCCAATCCCTTGAGAATTGCTTGATGGCCTGCGTTATGTCTTTTTTGGTATGAATTCGATCCAGTTTAGATTTCATTGTCTGCCATTGTATCGTAAGTTCCTCCTGAACATATTGTTTAATTAGCTCGGTCATTTCCGCACCCTCTATTCTTACTTTCTCAATAGATAATATACATTCTTTCCTCCACAGTGTCCAAATAACGGCTCTCCTCCCGATCTTGAACATGTTCTCTTCAAAAGCGCTATTCATAGGGGAGAACCACGTTTCACACAGAAGCGCTCTCCAGTCCCACGGCCACTCAGACTCGGTGCCCAGCAACCTCCAAATCCGATCCCACCAGCGCCAGGTAAGGACCGCCCCTGGACATTGCAAAAAAATGTGCTCTATAGTCTCGGGGATCTTGCGGGCAGGATAGGCTGTCAGACAAGACATACACCATGGCGTGGCCAAACCCTTTTGTTCCAAATATGTATGATCAATCGGCCAATCATTTATGGGAAGGCAGCGGTGTTCTATCTGCCAGTGCAGGGAGGCCATTTTTGTCGGTCTGGCCCTTGTGGCAATGAACCACCGGATGGGGCGGAGGCAGGGATGAGGGAATCAATGCTCAAGTAACAGGGTAATCCTATTGGGGTTCTACAGGTAACAGGGTAGTCCTATTGGGGTTATACAAGTAACAGGGTAGTCCTATTGGTGTTCTACAAGGTTATAGGTTTGAGAAAAAATAAAAAGGATTGTTTGTTCAATGCTTAAATGTCGGGGTGTCTGAGGGGTCTGGGGAAACGACGTCTCGGGTCTGTATCGAAGTGTCAAAAGCAAGAACAAGTCTTGAGGGAGGTCTTGGAGGGTGTCGCAAAGGTGGCAGTGAGGAAGCAATCTTCAACATTTTTGTGATGTAGACGGCGAGGGCTTCAGCTTGATTGTCCCAGTAGCAGGTTGTGTCCGGTACACGATCTGATGATGATGTCTGATTCGGATAGCAGGTTGCAGACTGATCTTGATGTACATGTCAGAGGTGCTGCTCCAGAAGTCTGCGAGTCCAAGGTGGCGGCCAAAGGGAACAGCATGGTGGCCAACCAGTCGTCTTATCTCCTCGTACTGAGCTGCAGCATGCCATCTCTTGCCATTAGATCCATTATCGTCGGTGACGCTCAGGGGCCACATAGAGAACTTGGACAAGAGAAACAAGGATGTGGCGTAGGACAGACGGGAGAATGGGGCAAGGCGGAGGCAAGAGCGGATTAGATAGGGGGGGGGTTCAAGAGGCAAGGGCTTTGCTGGGTACAGGGGTGTGTGTAGAGCAGGAATGGGGGGTTTTGGCGGGGTCGGGGCGGGGTTTATGCAAGGGTTTTGGTTTTGAGTTATTTTATGTATCTAGGATATAGGGTGAGCACGATCATAGGGGCGAACAAGTTTCATAGCATTCTTAAGGTTAGCAAGAAGTTCCCATGTGGATTCTTTGCCAGGGTATCCTGTCCATTTAACTTTGTATTATGTGATTGGTTCCGGGTGGTCAGATACCTGAGTAGTTTTTCGTTCTATGATGGTTTTGACGATGAAGTCAGGGCATGTGGGTAACATGATTGGTGGGGGTCTAGGATATGGGTGGTCAACGAATTGGAGTGGGGATTCATGGTATTCTTTTAGGTATTCTACATGGAAGACACAGTGGACACGACTCATGTCAGGGGGGAGTTAGAGTAGTTGACGGGGGAGGTTTTTTCAATGCTGGGGAAGGGTCCGAGCCACTTGTTCGAGAGTTTTCTGGACAAGCCGTGTTCGGGTTCAAAGCGTGTGGCGGAGAGCCAGACTTTGTCCCCTTTTCTGAATGACACGTCACGTTTGTGTTTGTTAGTCTTGTTGGCTTGTTGTTCTTGTGTTTGTTCAAGGGCTTCGGTAGCTTCTCTGAGGAGTCTACTCTTTGTTGCTACCCATTCATTGAGAGAAGGGTAGGGGGTGGAGGGGTTGAGTTGCGAGGGGAGCAGGAAGTCAGAGGGCAAGCGCGGATGATAGCTAAGGTCGAGGTAGAATGGAGACATGCCAGTGGAAGGACAAACAACATTGTTGTAGGCGATCTCGGCGGCGGTGAGCAATTGATCCCAATCGTGTTGATGTGGATGACAATACTTCCTCAGGATTCTTTGGAGAGTATCGTTCATATTCTCGGTTTGTCCATCGGTCTGTGGGTGGAATGCAGTGCTATACTTGAGCGTGGTTTTGTAGGCTTTAAAGAGGTGTTTCCATAATTGTGAAAGAAAGCGAGGGTCACGGTCGCTGATGATGTTCTCGGGGAAACCGTGATGGCGTGCGACATGGTCGAAGAAGAGCATGGAGACGTCCTTGGCGCTGTGCGATGTGGTGCAAGGGATGAAGTGGGCACATTTAGTCAGGTGGCAAACAATGACATAGATACAATCATGTCCGCGGTCGGTCTTGGGAAGACCACAGACAAAGTCCATGGAGATGGACTGCCACCGGTGGGTGGGGATCGGCAATGATTGTAGCTTGTCGGGCTTGGCGCGGTTTGAGGGGTTGGCGACTTGACATGTGGGGCATGAGCGAATGTAGGCTTTGACGTCGGCGAGTAGGGAAGGCCAGTAGAAGTAACGAGAGATGGTGTCGAAGGTTTTATGGAACCCGAGGTGTCCCGCGGTCTTGGCGTCGTGATGCTCGGCCAAGAGCTGGGTACGGATGCCACGTGCGTCGGGGATGCAAAGTCGACGAGTGCCTTTGGTGTCAATGTAAAGAAGTTGATTGTGAAGGGAGTAGTCGGGGACTGAGTCGAGGTCAGGAAGCTTGTTGTAGATTGTTGAGAAATCCGGGCAAGAGAGGTAGCCTTGGGTGTAGCGGTGGTGGAGTGATGGGAGGAGTTGGATATGAGTCATGGCGGCATAGACTTTCTCAGAGGGTTTGTGGTCGGGGCGTCGAGAGAGGGCATCGGCAACACGGTTGCTTTTGTCGGGGGTGTGGCAAATGGTGAATGTGAATTGGGCAAGAAAGTCTAACCAACAGGCTTGGCGCGGGGTGATGTCTTTCGTGGTGAGGATAGAGGAAACAATGGTGTTGTCCGTGCGGATGGTGAAGTATTGCCCGTCGAGGTACGCGCGCCAAACTTTGAGGGCGTGGATCACGGCAAGGAGTTCCTTCTCGTTGGAGGGGTAGTTCATCTCCGCGGGAAGGAGCTTCTTACTAGCGAAGGCTATGGGGTATTCACCGGGTGGAGCCTCGGGGTGGGTGGGAGAGTCTTGGATGGAGGGGGTTTCAGAGGTGTTGCGAGGGAAGTGTTGGGATAGAGCAGCTCCAAGGGCGAATTCGGATGCGTCAGTGGTAACGAAGAAATGCCGAGAGGGGTCGGCGATCTTGAGGACGGGGGCCGTGGTGATGGTTTCTTTGAGGAAGTCGAACGCGTTTTGGCTACTTGGCGGAGATGTTGAAGGTGGGACTCGAAGGTGGGGCTATGGACAAGAATATCATCGAGGTAAACGACGACTCAGACTTCGAGAAGGTCGTGGAAGATGTGGTTCATGGTGGATTGGAATGTGGCGGGGGCGTTGGTGAGTCTGAAAGGCATCACGAGGAACTCGTAGTGCCCTAAGCGAGAACGGAATGCGGTCTTGTGGGTGTCCTCCTCGCGCATGCGGATATGGTGGAAGCCACTGCAGAGGTCAATTTTGGTAAAATATTTGGCTCCATGGAGGCGATCAAGAAGCTTGGAGATCCGAGGTAGGGGGTACTTGTTCTTGATCGTTATCCGATTCAAGGCGCGGTAGTCTGTGCACATCCGAAGTTCCAATGTTCTGCTTGGCTTAATGAATTTTTTTTCAAGGAGTTCACTGAGTTGCCGCTTCATTTCTTCGGCTTCCGGAACGGAGAGTTGGTACGAAGGGCGGCAAGGTGGAGAGTGACCGGGCTCCAAATCGATGGTGTGGAATACGCCACGATCCGGAGGTAATCCAGCGGGCAAGGACTCGGGGAAGACGTCCTTGAACTCGTCGAGGATGGAGGTGAGGGCGGGGTCGGAGGGGGGGGTTGGTCGGGTTTGTCCGTTGGGAGCAAGTCCTCCGGACGCTCACGATCAAGGACAAGGCAATAGTAGGTGGAGTCAGGGTATGTACGAATCATGTGAAGGAATTGTTGCGCGGTGACGGAGCTTGGGGAGGGGGGATAGGGGAGATAAGGAATGTCGATGGTTGTGTCAAGGGCGTTGGTAAGGCGGATGAAGTTGGGGTGGAACGAGTATGGCGTGTAGCGGTCCAGCCATGGTGTTCTCAAAACGATGTTGCACATTAAGTGCATGACATCGAATGAGACCAGACTGCGGAGGGTTCTGACAGTCATGGTGGTCTCGGGAACCGTGCGGTCTACTACGACGGCGGTGTCTTTGTCCCCTAAACGAATCGTAATCGGGGAGTCATAACCGGTAGAGGTAAGACTGACTTTCCACACACACGTGTCGGTGATGAAGTTACTGGTGGCTCCAATGTCGAGGAGGGCCCGAAACTTAGTCGTAGACGCACCAAGGGTGGCGGCGATGAATTTGAGGTGAAAGCGTGATGAGTTGGCGGTGGAGATAATGGTGTTGAGGCGGCGTTGTTCATTGTCTAATCGGACAAGCCGATTGAGTCGGGCTTGTTCCTCAACAACATCTGAGAAGGTGACAGAGGATGGATTCAGAAGGAGGGTTGCAGAACATGTGGTGGTGAGGGGAGCGTCAGGCGATGAGGGTTGCGGCGCCTGGGGGTCGTCCGGTGGGATGTGCGGCACCGGAGAGGGGGGAGGCAGACGTATTGTCGATGCCAAATGGGTCACCAGTGGGGTGGAGATCGTCACCGATCGGATGACCGGCAGACCAGTCGTCGATGTCGGGACGGATTCGTGGTGATCATGGGGACGATGTTCAAGTGGAGGAGGGGCCGGGAGTGGCGGATGGGATGGCGGATGCGGAAGCGGCGGGTTGGGGAGCCGCGGACCTGGGTGCCTGATATGTGAACTGTCTGGCATTTGGACAGCTTGTCTGCTGATGTCCTAACTGTCAGCACCGGAAACATCCACCCTTATCTTGGAGGTAGGTCCGCTCCTCCGGCGTAAGTTTCGTGAGATGGGTTGGAGGGGTGTTTATGGGAGGATGGCTAGTGCGTTCTCCCCTTTCCATCTGCATGAGGTCGATGGTAGAGAGTTTGTCGAGGGAGAGCGATGTGGTGTCTAGTGGATCGGAGAGGGTGTCGAGGTCGGGGGTGGAGAACTCGTCCGAGGAGGTGGCGGATGAGGTGTCCTCGGAGGCGATGTTGTGGAAGAAGCGAGGGCGGGGAGGGGCCGATGTAAGTGCGGTCTTGTAGGGGGAGAAAATGCGGTCGATTTGGAGGGCACGAGTGAGGAGGTCGGCGAGGGTCATGGGTGGCTCGTGGACGAGGACGACCGCTAGGTCTTTGCGGCATACGCGCTTAACGGGGGAGATGAATGCGAAGTCATTGATGATATCGATGGGGATATGTTGACGAAGCGAGCGGACGTATTGCACAAAACAGCCGGTGGGGCCGTTTTGTTGGAGCCGACATAATTGGTCGATGTAGTCGTCGACCGTTTTCTGTGGACGGAAGGTGGAGGTGATGAGGGTGGCCCACTCAAGGAAGGTGTGAGGTCGGAGATCGGCGTGATGGCGGTTGGTCATTTCAGTGTACCACCAGCGAGCGATGTTGTCTAGGAGTCTGCTGTCGGCAATGGGGAGCCAGTGGACGACAGGGATGTTGTGGAGGGAGAAGGTTTGTTGAAGTTCGATGAGAAAGAGGAAGACATCCTTATAGGGTTGGCCTGATAAGGTGGGCATCTCGTTGGCACGGAAGGATGGAGGGATTTTGCCTTCTCTGGGGGTAGTGGCGGCAAGGGAGTTGAAATCAAGGGTGGGAGAGGAAGAGTCGACCAGAGTGAAATCGTTGGCGGGGTTGGTGAGGATGAGAGCATTGGGGGGGAGTAGTGGAAGGGGGGGATACACAGCTTGTGGAATAATCTTAGCTGGGAAGGGTGGAGGTGATAATGGACGAAGTCAAGATGGGTTTTGACTGGGGGGGAATGGTTGACGACTGTGTGACGGGGGGGGTTGTCGGCTGGGTGACATGGTGGGGTTAGTGGTAGATGCGGGCGGGGGTGTGGATGACGTGTTGGCGGAGAGGGCGGTGAATGTGGGGGAGGAGGTGATTGGTGTAGATGTGGAAGCGGAGGGAGGGGGAAGGGTGGTGTCACCCGAGGTGGGGGGGGGGACGTGGTGGTGTCGACCTGGATGGCGGGGGTGTGATTTTCAATGGTGGTCACACGAGCAAAGATGGTGGAAACGGATGTTTTGATGTCGTCGATGGATGACTGGAGGGATGCCATCATGCGAAGAAGTGCCGCGAAGTCGGGGGCGGCGGCGGGTGGTGGTGTTTGCTCGCCTGCAAGGTTGCGGGCGATGCTGTCAACGGAGTCGGTGCGGATGTCGGACATGTCAATGTTGGATGATTGGGCCATGGTGGGGGAAGAAGCGGTGGTAGCGGCAGATGAGGTGGAGGCGGCAGCAACAGTGGCGGCTGCACGTTGGGAGTTCCTGGTTGTGCGTGTCATGCCCGGGAGGGGGTCCTATTTACAAGGGTAGAACAACATCAAAATAAGATAATTTTCAAAAAAAAAATAAAAAAAAAAAATAAAATAAAATAAAATAAAATTTGCGAAACAAGAATTAAAATAAATTAATTCCGATTCTAAACTTATTCGAAATTAATTTGAGAATACGCCTTGGAAAGAAATTCGAAAAAAATCTGAAGGATGAACTTGCAAAACAAAATTTTCCAGAAAGTTTTGCTGAAAATATCGGAAAAGGAAAGAAAAGAAATAATTTGTTTCAGAGAAAAATAAATTCCGATTTGGGTTTAAATTTATTCGAAATTAATTTTGGGGTATGATTTTGCAAGAAAACGTGAAAAAATCAAAAAAGGATTTAAGTAATGCTAAAATGTTCCCGAATGGGGACCGTGCGTAAACGTGCGCTAACGAAGCGGCGATAGCGGCGGTGGCGGCGCCCAGTCGTCGGCAGCAGCTGAGTAGGTTGCAACGTTGGTGCATGGGGAAGTCGATCTTTTCAACGAGGCGCCTACCCTGCCAGGCACCATAGCTGTGTGGGAGCTATAGCGACAGTGCCCTGGCGTAGCCTAGCCCTTGAGTGGGTAGGGAGTGCCTTGCACTCTTACGCCAAGGCATCCTGGCAGCTCCATATTTGACCTCCATACCAATCTTCATACAAGACAGGATCTCGATACCAGAGGAGCCATCCTCCCCTCAAGCCTTTTGCTGATAAGGGGGGGCTCCTTTCTCAACATCCAAAGGCCGTGCATCGTACTCTCATGACACGCTATCTGTACGAAGTAGCTTGGAAGGCGGAACAGTGTGTGCGGCTGCGGTGGCGGCGTTTCGGCAGGTCCAAGAGCTTCAGCAGGTTTCGGTGGACCCATCTACGTCACAAGGCAGTTTGATGATCATTCACTTCAAGTTTTGGTTTTCTCACTTAAGTTGGCTCTCTTTGGTTAGAATAGCGTCTGTGAATGATTACATATAAGACGTTTTTCTTCCGTTCTTGATTATTGGGGTATTTTTAGTTTGATGTCTGTAGGTTTCTGGAATTCCGATTGGGCTCTCCACTTCTTTTTTCGAGTATCGTCTTCGTAGTATATATGTTCTGCGTAGTTTTCTGTTTGATGTAGTTTGAAGGTTTTTTGTCTGCCTTTTACCGTTCATTTCAGTCGGGCTGTGTTCTCGTCTATCGCTTGCAATGGTATTGAGTTCTCATGCATGATTGAGATTCACAGTTTCTCGATATTATTAAGCGTTGGGGTATGTTTGGAGCGATTTAGGGTGATACTCACAGGTTTGGATGATATGAGACGCCCGGTGAAGAGCAAACTAGAGTTGTATCCATTGGGTGCGTGGTGGGAAACCCATCTAGGCAACAAAGGCTCTGTACAACAATCCAGCTCTTAGTCATTGAGATTGCTCTTTTAGTTTGATATTTCGTAGGTCTTCAGTATCTGGATTGTTGTCAAGCCCTGAAGCCCGATGGGTGGCGGCGCCATCAGCGGGAGTGGGAGACTCACTACCGTCTTAACCCGAAAACAAGGTACGTACCTTGTATTCAAGTTACCTCCGAAAAACGGGTTCCAAGAAATCGCCGCTTAATTTTCGAATAGAAGGTACCCTCGAATACAAGGTACGTACCTTGTATTCGAGGTGTGCCTCTCTCTCT